ATACAGATTATCATTGGCAGAGAGGTTTGACTGTACAATAAATGTAATGCTCTTGAATCATCCTGAAACCATCCCGGTCCGTGGAAAAAATTGTTTTTCATGAAACCAGTACCTGGTGCCAAGAAAGTTGGAGATCACTGATCTACAGGGTTTATTGACTTGAACTAAAGTATATGCAACAATTTGAAGCTTCAACCAAGTTTAGTCTTTTTTTTTTTATTGTTTACAAAACAAGATATTTTATAGATGTAATTTATACTTTGAATAGAAAAGGGCTATTTCCAATATTATCTTTATCTTCTAGACATAAATAATAAACAACTCCAGTAATCAAAATTTACTACAATTGTAATAGATTTTGGCAGAGTTTATGTATTGTGTGCAATGCTGACATAATGCTGACTTTCAAGGATAGAGGCCAGGATTTCCAGTTTGGCTTTGTTAAATGGAAAAAAAAAAAATCTACTACTGTATTTGTAGATTTTACTACATTCAAGAGATTAATTCTCATAAATAAAATTGTTTATACCAGCTTCTAATCAGAAAGTTGAAATTATCTGTGGCAATGTAGCCACTAAAAACTTGTACACTATGAAAATATTTCAATAATTAATGCATGCTCCATCTAGAGTAATTGACAGTGTGGCCATAAACGTAATGGACCATCTGTGTTTGATTTGTACATGAAAATGCTTAAAGGGATAGACAGGTAATTCAAGCTCCCCTGGAAAGGAAGATTTGTTCCAACTTCTCCAAGTAGCAGAGCTTTTTATTAGGTTTTATTTTTCTTTTTTCTTAAAGTTTTTCCAGATTTCTACTTGAGCTATATCTAATGCAAAAATATCTTTTGGGTTTTTTGATGTACATGTTGCTCGCAGTTATCCTTAACAAGTCTACTTGGCTCTCCAAATCATTTCAATGGCAACTTGAAAGCCACAGGTCTAATTAACAATATTAGAGGCTCACTCTAATGGCTTTAATTCTTTTCAGCCTGCTTCAAAATTCATTATTGCAGGTTTTGCTCTTCTGTCAGTAAACAAAACATTAACCTCCCCTGCTTATATGTGTTAACAAAAAGTAATAGGACCATTGGGAAACCTAGTAAAATTTTTGTAACTCACCCTTTTGGGCATGCACCAGAATCTCTGTATTTCTGGATGTAATATAGTCTTGGTAGACATCAAAGGGGATTCTAGGATTTTTTTGTGCAAGACAACCAAAGAACATTGAATAATTGCTGAGACCCAGACCTATAAATGTGTCCAGAAACACATATGCAACTGGAATTTACTGAATATTTGTCACCTGCCAGGTACAGTGCAAAGTGCTGGGGATCCATGGAACTAAACCAACAAGGTCCCTGTCCTCGTGGATCTTATATTCCAGTAAATACAGCTTTACCCTTAGACATCTTATAGGTACCATAAACTCCACAACTAGGAAGCTAAGTAGATCATCTCCTCTGGTAGCCACTCCCCAAACCCCAAATCTGTATTTTCTCCTGTATTGCCTGTTTTGGGAAAATGTGCCATCATCTACCCAGTCACCCACGGCAAGAACCCAGGTTTATCCCAGACGATTCCCTTTCCTTTCCCCTTCACCAAAGTGATTCATGAGTTTTGTCAGTGCTAACTGCTTGTCACTGCCTGACTACTTCCTTCTGTCTATCCCTACATTCACACACTTAATTCGGTTCCTAAATTTTTCTTTTTTTGCCTGGAATATTGCAACAGCATGCAGTAGCACTTCCTCACCAATCTATTCTTCATACTGCTGCCAGAGTGAAATCTTAAACATTAAAATGCTTATAGGATTATGTCATTTCTCTTTGAAAAGTCCTTATTGCAAGCATTCTACAACTTCCTCAGAGACAAAATCCAAACTTCTTCACATGGTGCACAAGGAAGATCTTTGCTAACATGGCCTGGGTCCGATTCTACAATGATGCCATTTCTTGCAGCAAACCTTGCTCTCTAGTCACACGGAAGTGTGTTTGCTGAGCACAGCATGGCACCTTACCTCTGGACATGCAATTCTCTTTGCCCAGAATCCCTGGACTTCCTTCTTTTATTCACTTGAACAATCTCCCTTCACCCAGTAAATTTGACTCAGATAGATGTGAGTTTTCTGTGCAGCTTCTCTTCTTTGATGGTTGTTAGTGGACTCATTCCAGAACACTGTGAGTTCACCTCTATGGCAGCACAGTGCAGCTCTATTTACCTGCCTCAGGTAAACCACACAGTGCCTGTGTGTGGTAGGCATGCCGCATAGGAGCTGTTGAAGGATCTTTATCATGTGTCCAGCACCGTGTTTTGTTGCATCCAAGATACGAAGGAACTAAGGGCAATTCTCATGAGTTGTCATCTTTACAGTGGGGCTGGCAACAAGGTGGTCACTCTTCATCATCCCATTATTTATTTGGAACCAATTGTTAAATCACTCTATTCTTCACTTTTCCAGCCTGATATTTCTTAAAAGTGTTTTAGCTTTTAAAGTAATCCCTAATATTCAGCTATGTCAGTTCTTACTTACCAACATACGCCTTTTAATAGCTTTACCCTGTGTCCTTTACGTACCTGAGAACAGTACAAGAAAAAAATTTAAATTTGTTTCATCCTAACTTTTGGAGTAGAGGGGAGCTTTTAGTTTCCCTGAGGCATCCCTCAGAATGCCAGGCAACCTAGCAAAAAGCAAAACAAACAAAAAAAGCCACGAAAAACCCAGTTGTTCATGTATTCGATATTACAAAGATGCAATACCTGGACATTTAACTGAAATTTTCACTTTTCAGAAACATTTTTGATTTCAAGCAGACACAACACCTCTCTTTTTCTCCTGTAGAAGTAAACAAAACACCAGCTACACTTCTGATTTTAATCAAGAAAGCATAAATAGAAATAAATATAAAATACAGATTCAATAAGAATATAAATTCAGCTCTTTACTTTTTCCTGAGCATGTGCTCATTAGCTTTCAAGTATATAAAGTGTTCTTCTAGGGTGAAATGAAAAATGAGAACTTTGAAAACTGTTAATGACTGTGGGTAAATTATGAATTAAAGCAGAAGAGTATTTCCTGTGTCTAGTTATACCAGGGAAGAAATATGGTGGGGGGTAAGTACCCTGCATCTGTGGTTGCTGTAAACACGGCCAAGGACCTTCAAGGTGCCTGTGTCATAGGATGCCACTGGCCAGAGGCACAGGAGGACTTGGGCCAACCTTTGTCTCTCCTCGTGTGTTAAGATCATGAAGTGGATTGTGCCTTCAACACACAGGACTGGTCATTCTTGATTTCATCTTGATGATCATAGGAATTTTTATGTAATTTATATACTTTTACATAGTTTTATTCAAATGCTGGAAAAAGAACATTAAACAGCTGTAGATATTGTTACCCAGATGTTAAGAGTTCAAAGCAAGTAACAGTATGATTGGCCAAAGGCAACTGAGCCACCTATCAGACCAAACACACAGCCTGATGAGATGCACGTCAAAAACAGAAAGGCTTAACTGAGAGTGGCTTCAGCTGGGTGAGATAAGTGCCCAACTGTGTTTTCCACCAAAATGTAGTTTCTTCTATCAATTTTTGATAGTATAAAAGTGGTATATACTCTTAATAGAGAAAAATTAGAATATAAAAAGAGCAAAACTAAGAACACCAAAGAATGAATTTCTCCCTTTGTGATCCCATTGTATATATGTTTGCAGGTTTATAAAATGGCTTGCTATTCTATGTATGTTTTGTAACTGGCCTTTTCCTCTTACTGTATCAAATATATCCATATCATTAGATCTATGTAGGTTTATACGCTTCAATAAGAAACTATTGCTTGTTGAGAAGGCATATTTCATGCTACAAATCAGCTCACATACCATCTCTTTAAAAAACTTCAAACATAGACAACTGAGGATACATTAAGTTAGCAAGAATCTTTGTTTGAAACATTGGGGAGATGTGCCTTGTAGATAAATAGCTCAGAGTTGAAGAGTGATGATTAAAAAATTTGGAAGTTGAGGTGAATATTTTAAAAGGATTTGGTATAAGAGGATGAGACTGGGCTTTGAAGACAAATGAACGTTTGAAGCCCAGCTTTCTGGATGGGGCTGAGCATAATGCCCCAAGCCCCAGACTGTGTGTAGGTGAGAATACCTAGCACTGCAGTTAGCATGTTGTGGGCCAGGGAAGAGTCGACCCCCATTTAAATTAGCTGGAATAAGCAAAGACTCTGGGACACGAGAATGGAAAGGCAGTATGAGGGGGAGAGGGAAAGAATGGGATGAAATTACTAAAATGACAGTCTCAGAAATAGGGAGAGCTACATGGTGGAACAAGAAGAGAAAAAAAAATGCCACCAAGTGCTACATTACAACAGAATGCCTGAAAGACAAAGATGATGATGATGATGGTGGTGGTGGTAGCAACCAATGGATAGCATTTACAGTAAGGATAACACCAGATCACTCTTACATAACATTTCCCATGTGCCAAACAAAGGTCTCTAAGGCACTTTGCATATATTTAGCATTTAATCTTTACAACACCCAATCTGACCTACCTCCTATGGCTATTATAAAGATTAAATGAATTAGTATTCATAAAGTCCTTAAAATGGTGCTATATCAATGTTTGTTAATAAAAATCTCATTTTACTAAAGCACTGAGAGGTTAAGCACCTTACCTGAGGCCACACAGCTGTACAATAGCAGAAACGGGGTTGGAACCTGTAGAAATGTCAGGCTATTACTAGAATAGGAATCAGATCTCCTTAAAGAAGGAGTGTGTCCAAGATCTCTTGACTAAGCCTTGGAGTTAAGGCTTTTCTTGTCCTTTCCCCCAATTCTTCTTCCCCTTTCCTTGCTTCTGCCCCTCAACTATATACCACCCCACCACTCTCTCCCACTGCAACAATAATGGTAATGACAATAATGCTGTTATCTCATAGTTACTGAGCTCTTACTGCGTACCAGGCACATTGATTCATTATCTCATTTGATCCTCAGATCAACCTTGTGAAGAAAGAACCACTTCCTAAACCTACTTGATGTGTGAATAAATCAAGGTTCAGAGAAGGAAAATCACTTGGTTGGTAAGTGGAAAGACTGGAATCAGAACCCAGATCTATCTGGCTGAAATCCAATGGCACACTTCTCCTCAGCCCCCATGTATTGGCACCAACTTTATTAAGAATTCAGTTTTCCAGAGTCACCTGATTCTTGGAAGATGCGTGGGTAGATATGCATGGGCTTCCCCCAGTGAGATACTCTGGCAAGTTTTGCATATGGAATTCCAGCCATTTAGATTGTGATTTTCAGCCATGAAGGTTATGAAAGTCACCAAATAAGATCCCAGGATTTGTTGCCAAGGCTAGCACCTGTTTATTTAGTATCTACATATGCATGGGGCCATTTGTGATAGCTGCAGGGAGAAATGCAGAGGCATAGAGAATGTGATCCTGCTCCCAAGAGACTTACCATTTGAAAAAGAAGATGAGATTGACTCTCATCAGAAGAACATAAGGAACACTTGGCAGGGTGTGGGGGAGCGTCTGTGGGGATAGAGTCTGAGTATCCACCCCTGACTGTTTTCTCCCTTTCCAGCCCCTTCAAGCCATGGAGTATCATGGACACCAATGGGATAGTGAGTTGGATGCTGAGGGTGCCCTGAGATCTCTAAGGATTGAGCTAGAGCTAAAGGAGCAGAGAAAGCGAATGTCAGCCTCTTCTCAAGGTCTGAGAGATGACAGCAGATTTTTGTCTGCAGAAGAAAACCTTTCATATATCTTCATCATGATGTGGTCCATGTAAGGCCCATCTGCTTCTCCTGATCACGGTGTCCCTGAAATGGGAGGCAGTCACAGCCGATGAGCTTCTGCATCTGTCCAGCCAGGCTTTTCAGTGCCTCAGCAGATACTAACAGGTAATGTCTACACTTTCTACCAGTTTTGACACTCCACTCGCCCCAAACCAAACACTTGATCTATACAAACTAATAGAATATTATCTTCAAGGAAAACCACAGCTCTTCAAATGGGGTTCAGGAACTAGGGGAAAGACATTCAAATGGCTAGGACAAATGGCTCATTCCTGAGGTCAACCTAAGGAAGAGATGGAGAGATGAACATGAAAATAATGAGAATCTTCAAAGACATGTCACTGGAACACCATGAAGATCTTACAGACCTACAACCATGATTTCTGAACTATACTAGCCATTAAATGAGTCAAAAAAGCATAATTGTTGCTAGCAATTGAATTAGAGATGCAAAAGATTACATAAGAGGAAGCACATGCCACAAAGATAAGAAGACATGAATGAAAAGATAGATGACTTAGAGCATAGACCTACAAAATTTAACATGCAAATAATGAGCCACCCAGAAGAAGAAAGGAAAAGATGGAGAAGTGTTTATGTCACCCAAAATGAAAGAACATATCACTGAGCTAAAGGAAGATACTAGTTTTCTGATTGCCAGGGCTGACTCCAAGTTAAGTATTAATTAAGACAAAACAAAACAAATCCAAACAAAAACATGTAACTAGACATATCCTCATTAAATTCCTGAATATTTAGCATAGTGGATGCTGTGGAGTTCCACCTGATTCCCCCTCCAGGACTGGAGCATTCTAGTCCCTTACCTGCTGCTGTCCATATCCAATAAACAGTTAATGTGGTGATGTGAAGGACTCATCTCCTTGCTCCGATTTGAAAACTCAGACTCAACTCCCATAAGATCAGCTGAGTCCTTTTAAGGCTGCATTGCAATTCAACTTTTCCCTTTACCCAGTCCTGCTTCTTCATCCATTATAAGCAAAGTTCCCAAAAGCACGCCAGAGTAAAAGGAAAAATTTACTCCTGTGAGCAGGAGTAAAATTCCTGCTCACAAATCCCCATCTCAGGGAACCTGACCCATGACACTAAATACTAAACAAAGCAAAACAAAAGGAAACACTGAAAACAAAAACAAACAAACAAAACACCCTTCTCAAGTCTCCCAAACCCATGAAATTTTCTAATAGAGCAGTCAGGTTAGTTAAAAATAAAGGAGAATGCTTGTCTGCACAATTGAAAGCTAACAGATGGTAAAATTACGTGTATTGAGAAGAGTCTACTGAAAGCTAGAGATGCTGAAATCAAATCTATTGTGAGAAAAGTTCCGAAGTCAAAGAAACATATAATCAGGTAAATATTACTTATTTGGCTCAAAAGAAAACTATGCGGGAACAAGTGAGGGCTCAGAGTGTATATTACTCACATAGTGTTTCTGATGGAAACACTATAAATGGCCTCTAACCAAATGACAACTGAATGTAATGGAAATCTCAAGACCAAAGAGGAGTGAAAACAATGGATCATGATCATGATATAATTGGGAATTTGTAATAATTTGAAGAATATGGATTATTAGAATAGAAAGACTGAGATGTTGGGAAAAACTCTGGAGCTAAGTGTGAGTGCATATGATGTGTGAAGGCAGAGACTGGAAGCGAATATCGCAGTGGGAGGGAAATCATTATTCAATACTGATAGACTAATAGGGGAGTAAAACTGAACTTCAATAGTCATGGAAGGAAGATAAGCAATAGCATATCTGACAAACAAAAATACCTCCCATATTACCAGGGGAAATAAAAATATGAAGAGAGACTTAACAAAGTCAGCAAAAAAATAGAAAAACAGGTAAAGGAGAAATGATAGCAAAATGTAAAAAATAAAAATTAAATATAAAATAGAAGAATTAAGTAGATCAGTTATTATAAGAAATAGGAATGGATATAATTTCCTATCAAATCTTTGATTAGGTTAAAAAATAAAATCAAGCTACGTGCTACTTAAAAAGAGTTATACCCATGACAAAGTAAAATACTGTAAATTAGGGGTTGGGCAAAGATATTCCAGACAACTGCAAATGATAAAAGTGCAAAACAAAACCAACAAAGCCCAAGGTATCAGATCAACCAGAATGCAAGTCTGAATTTATGAAAACCTCCAAAGAAAGATACTATGTAATGATAGAAGGCATAGTCCATTAAGGAAATGTGATAGCCACAAAATATCAAATAACATGGCAAACATGGCAGACAAATAAAATAAAATTGCTAGAATTGTGGTAAAAGAATACAAGTATAGTGGGAATATTCAATAAGCCACTTTCAGAATCTGATAGATTAAGAAAACAGTGAATAAGAATATAGTGGGTTTCAATAAGATACTGACAACCTGGAATGCATGCACTCACACAAATACACACTACTGGGCATGCGTATATATCTATGGCCCCAACAGGGACTTGAAATTCTTATCTTGTGTCCATGAAACATTTGTAAAAGAACTTGGCCACACAAAAACCTAAATAAATTTTAAAAATTAGAGGTTTTATAGGTTACATTTTTGATCACAACCCAATAAAACTATGATACATATAAGCACAAATGATTGACAAAAAATTCTTAAAATTAAGATGCACTCTTTTAAATAATCCTCGGATCAAAGAATAAAGCCAAGTTAAAGTTACATACTAGAGTAGTAAAAATAGAAACACTTCATACTATATAAGACATTCAAACTTTGTACTCAGACAAAAATTATATCCTTAAATTGTCTTTTTTTTTGTTTACTTTTTTTTTTTATTTCGGCATATTATGGGGGTACAGATTTTAAGGTTTCAATAAATGCCCATTCCCCCCCTTCCCCCAAAAGTCTGAGTCTCCATCATGACCATCCCCCAGATGGTGCACATCTCACTCATTATGTATGTATACTTAAATTGTCTTTATTGTTAAAAAATAAAGGTTGCAAAAAAATTTTAAGTCCTCAACTTAAAATCACAAGTAACAAAATAAGACAGGAATGTGGAAGGAGGGAATCAAGATAAAAGCCAAAACTAACAAAATAGAAAACATAAAAAGGGGTAAGTAAAATCATTATTAAATTCTTTGAAAATATTGATGAACTATATACAACCCTGTCAAGCCTGGTGTGTGTATGTATGTATGTGTGTGTGTGTGTGTGTGTGTGTGTGAGAGAGAGAGAGAGAGAGAGAGAGAGAGAGCCCATACAACACAGCTATGGGGAAGACAATAAAAGTTGCTGGTAGATATTACATACAACTCCATAGAAATACATTTATAAATCTAGAGGCAATGGATGATTTCCTAGTAAAAATTCAGACTCTGAAAATTAACTTAAGAATACAGAGGTAGGAAATATGAATAGATCCATTATTATAGAACAGAATGCAAAGTGAATGATCTCTCATTTAAAAAGGTACCAGACCTAGGTGGCTTTACAGATGGCATTACAGTCTTTTTAAAAAAATAAATTGCAGTGTTATATAAAATCTATTTGACCACGAAAAGGAATTGTTTTGTTAAGATAGTGTCTAAAGACAGTGCAAAATTGGAAGGCCAACTTCAATAAAAAAAATTATGAACAGAATATTAGCAAATAAAATCCATCAGTGTATCAAAAGTATATGACACCACTTCTAGATAGGATCTATTGCCAGAATGTAAGAATGTATCTTAATCATTATAATTTTATATAAAGTGTGGAAAGTCTTCCAATTACTTATAATGGGTGTGATGGGGTTAATGAATTCATAAACCCTGTTTCGGCATAGCCTAGTGATTGCAGGAGGGAGGTAAGGATGGAGGATGGACAAAGAGAGAGTCACTTAACTTTAGGCAAATGCATTAGTTATTTGTGCTTATTTATTTAATTTGTAGTATGTAAGCTGAAGAAAGGAGTCAAAAGAAGCAATAAACCTGTGATGAACCTATCATGTTCCAAACCCTTGACTGGGGTGCTTTAAATGCATACAATGCCATTTAAAGGTTTAATCAGGTATGGGTTAATATGCTGAGCACACACTCATATCAACAGAATGCCCTCTAGAAACATTCATTGATTAAGGAACAAAAGCCAACATATCATTTCAAAAGAAATTAGGTAGGGACAGCTCACACCTGTAATCCTAGCACTCTGGGAGGCCAAAGCAGGAGGATCACTTGAGGCCAAGAGTTCAAGACTTCCCTGAGCAAGAGTAAGAGACCCTGTTTCTACAAATAATAATAATAAAAAAAAGCTGGGCATGGTACAGCTCACAACCATAGTCCCAGCTACTCAGGAGGCAGGAGGATTACTTGAGCCCATGAATCTGAGATTGCAGTGAACTCTGATTATGCCACTGTACTCTATCCAGGGCCACAGAGCAAGACTCTGTCACAAAATGCAAACAAACAAAAAAAACAAAGAGGTTAGGTGGTGAAATAGCTTATTCATAGAATATTATTATTGAAACTGGCTGCAAATAAACACATTAAATATTTTCTTGACAGATATCATGCATGAGACAAAAGATACAGCAATTTTAACTGATGCATGAGTTCATAGATCTTGACATTGCTTTATAAGTTAGTTAGAACAGTATGGCTGGTTGTAACCACAGAGACATAGATACTTATGCTGCAAAGACATCTGCACTCATTTGATTTTCTCAGGCTGCCTTAACAGGGTGTCTGCTGGTTTTGGACCATCTCTGAATGGAGAATCTTACAACCTCTAATGCCAGGGAAGATGCTTTCTTTTGTATCCAGCATAGCTCTTTTATTTTAAATTTCAGCATATTATAGGCGTACAAATGTTAAGGTTACGTATATTACCCTTGTTCCCCCTCCCTACTCTAGTTATCCAGCAGAGCTCTATCTGGAATTCCTTGGGCTCCTGGGGAGGAAGGTGGTTTCCAAGAGAGGGGAGGAGACTTTCAGACATATTTTGTCATGAAGCAGTTTTCCATCCCTCTTTGAAGACACTTCCTGCTTCATGTGTATGTGGCATAGAAGTTGCTTTCAAGGATTCCTCCTTCTGTTTGCCTTGGGAAGGAAGATTCCTTGGTATAGTTATAGGGCTCCGAAAGC